TCGGACGTTGATGCACTATGATCAAACAAGTGGCCTTTACGACACCAAGCAGTGCTTGTTACGCGCGGAGCCTAATAGGCGTAAAAACCAGATCGCGAGAAGTTAAAAGCACAATGTAGAAGCGGACAGACAAGATTAGAAATACGTACGAGACTAATACTAATACTAATTTTGTGCTAAGTAAGATAAAATTAATGATTTTAGGCTTGGCAAATAGTCGGTAGTAGAAATAATGTGGTATATTCTATTATAGTCGTTACACAGTACTATAAACGGTTCATGCATATCAAAGTTAGATCTACAAATATTTAATGTAAGAGGAACATAGTTCCTGGTAATTCTATTAGGCACGGAGAAGCTTATTCGACCCAGTAACTCGGGACTCTCCACATCCCCGTGAATAAGTTTATAGATAAAAGTTGTGCCAAGCATTGTTCTACGGTTTACTAAGGATGGTAGATTAATTAGGAGAAGTATAGTAGAGTAGGATGGTAAAATAAGGCTTGCATTCCAGTTAAGGCCCCGTAGAGCAAATAATAAAAAGTTCTTTTGCACAGACTCTATCCGGTCTACATGTACACCATACTGAGGACTCCAAACTGCAGAACAGTACTCCAGGATTGGATGGACTAGTGAAATGAAGAGAGTCTTTGTTACATAGGGATCATCGAATTCCTTTGACCACCTTTTAATAAATCCAAGTACTCCCCTGGCTTTATTTACCATAGAAGTAATATGGTCACAAAACTTAAGTTTAGGGTCAAGGAGGACGCCAAGGTCATCAACATGCGTAATTCTAGACAACGCGCAACCACCCAGCGTATACGTTGCATATTGTGGGTTCACCCGAAAAAATGTCATTACTTTGCACTTAGCGCTATTTAAATAGAAAAGATTTTCACAACACCATGTTGGAAAAGCGTTTAGGTCAGATTGTAAGTCTGAACTGCTAGAAATTTCGTTATATTGCAGGCATAACTTAACGTCATCTGCGTATATAAGGATCGTTCATAAATAAAGTAAAAAGAAGTGGGCCAAGGTGGCTTCCTTGTGGGACGCCTGAAGTAACTCGGATCAAATCAGAGATCAAGTTTTTAAAGAGGACTCGTTGAGTCCTACCACTCAGATAACTTGAGATCCATGTTAGAAGATCACATGGAAACCCTAATAAGTCTAGCTTTAATACAAGAAGCGAGTGATTTACTGAATAAAACGCTTTACTAAAATCAGTGTAAACTACGTCAGTCTGCATGTTCTTTCTAAAGCCATTTATTAAGAGGTTTTCCAAGAGGTTTGTCGTCGTAGAACTTCGCCTTATAAATCCATGTTGACATGGAGATATAATCGATCTACAAAGATGTTGCAAATGGGATGGCGGATAATTTGGATATGCCTCTATAATTACTTGTATTGCATTTATTTCCTTTCTTATGAAGGGGAATGACAAATGACTCCTTCCAAATAAGTGGGAATTGAGATGTTTTTAAAGACAAGGTAAACAATTTGTACAGAGGTCTACACAGAGTTTCAGCACAGTACCTCAGCACGCAGCCTGGAACTCCGTCCGGACCGGGTGAATAGACAGGTTTAACTTTATGGAGATCCAAAAGAAGGGAGCTTTCGCTTAACCTCGGACAAAAAATGAAACAGAATATGTTGTCTGGAAAAACTGGGCAAATAGATCGGCAATTGCCTGATCAGAATTTGCCGTAGAGTTTTCGAATGATAGTGATGCAGGGTAACAGGCTGATTTACGCTTAGTGTTAACAAAATTATAAAACTGTTTTGGATCTTGTGAAAATTGGACCCTACAACGAGTCAAATAGCTTTTATAACACCGGGCGTTAAGCACGATAAAATTTGACCGAGCCCTTAGGTGCCGAGAGAAGGCAGATTGTGAACCGCACATTTTAAATTTATTGAAAAGTCTGGACTTATTATTTTTTGGGTGGGACAACTCTTTATTAAACCACGGAGGTTTATTTGAAATTGAGGGATAGTATAACGGAACACACAGATAAAAGAAGGAATTCAATGCATTATAAAAGATATTAACGGCCTTAGCCACGTTAGTGCATGAATAAAATTCGGACCAGTCATAGCCGGATATAAAAGTATTTAAAAGATGAAAGTTTGCCTTACGAAAGCAGCGGATTCGTTTAACCGACTTTTCGGATTTTTTATTCAGCTCTGTTCTTGCGTCTACAGTCAGCTCTAGAGTTGGATGATAAGGATCTTCCGGTTGTGTAAGTGGTGACGTTCTTGATAGGCAAACGCCTTCTGAATTTGAAACAAAACACAAGTCCAGCAAACGTCCTAAGGAGTTCTTAACATGGTTCACTTGGGATAGCGCAATGTCAGTCAAGCCGTCAATAAAGTCATGCTGCGCTAAAGGAAGTAAAATGTTAGAGTTTTCGTCAGGGGACCATGTCGCACTAGGTATATTAAAATCACCCAATACTATTAACTGATCTCGATCTGACAGTTTTTTGGAAATGGACTGAATAACGGAAAGGTGATTTGCGTAAATAGGGAACTCAGATGATGGTGGAATATATGAACATGTAATATATACAAAACTACCGGGAAACGATAATTTTATACCTAGGAATTCGATGTCATAAAATTCTTCGAAAGTTAGTAATTCAGACGAAAAGGTGGAGTCGACAGCAATCAGGACTCCACCTCCCCGTCTGGACTGACGATCAAGCCTATAAATTGTGTACTTACCCGGGAGAATTTCGGAGCTAAGAATATCCGGCCTTAACCAGGTCTCTGTACATACCATAATATTTTATGGGAAAGAAAAACTATCCGAATACAATTTAGTCAGCTTACTAAGTAAGCCTCTTGTATTCTGATAGCAATGAAGAAAAGAGGAGGTTATTTTTTTGGGTCAGAAGAGGATGTGGAGGGCGCTGGGGATGGTTCTTTAATGGTATTTTCCATTTCCCCTGAACTATTCTTTTTATACCCGTTACTCGTAGAGTAAAAGGGTATATTGTATTCGTGCAAAAGTATGTAACAGGTAGAAGGAAGCGTTTCCGACCCTATAAAGTATATATATTCTTGTTCAGGATCACTAGCCGAGTCGATCTAGCCATGTCCGTCTGTCCGTCTGTCTGTCCGTATGAACGCTGAGATCTGGGAAACTATAAAAGCTAGAAGATTGGCATTTTGCATGTAGATTTTAGGAGTTACTACGCAGTGCAAGTTTATTTGAAAATGGTGCCACGCCCCCTCTGACGCCCACAAGCCACAAGCTGTGGCCACAGTTTTGATGCTATTATGAAAATTGTAATTGATATGTATTTGTTTCGTCAATACCTATCGATTGGCTTAATAAAAGTTTGCCACGCCCACTCTAACGCCCAAAAACCCATTAAACGCTTAAGCCTGGCTAGCGCCTACATTTCCGCCTTTCATGGCCCGTAGCGCCATCTAACGGATGACTTTGGAAAAGCTGGCCAAGGTGCTAATTCGAGCGGCGAAAAACATACAAGAAGGCATATTTATATTAAGTTGTTTAGCTGAGTAACGGGTATCTAATAGTCGAGGCAATCGACTATAGCGTTCTCTCTTGTTTCTCTTAGCTTCGTACTCTTTTACAAATTTGCCCTCGGTCCAGAAACTGGTGGAACACACAGATGCAAAACGAATACCAATCTTAAATGATGATACTTTCCTAGCATAAGAAAATTTAAATTGTTCGACCTTCAAATCATCAACTTGGATTTTGTTACGGATATAAGCCGTAATATCCAGTGATGAGAGGTCTGGGGCGAGCCGTGAAACAAATACATGTTTTAGCTGGGGCACCCGAACACATGTAACCGTTTTTGGTACAACACATGCAAGCCTTTTTGGTACTACAGAATTTGTATCTGTACTACCAGTATCGGCCGGTAATCCGGACGTTAAGTCTACATGAGGTGTTGGGGCCACTACTTTATTTTGATCGGACAGAGCGGAAGTACCTAGCGGAGCCACATCGATTCCAGCAACTTCGGATACCGAATCACATTTTGCCCCCGATCTTAGTACCATTTGAGTGGCGCCTAAGATTGGCAGCTGAGCTGGAGCCGAATCGCGGTCAGCAGGTTGCACAGCAACTGCCATAGAATGCCCACCGACCGTGACTTTTTTGCGCTTTGGGGAATCGTGCTCAGCTAGCATGCGGCTAGTGAGCTGAGATTCAAGCGCCACGAGCAGGTCCGTATTTTTACGGCAGTTAATTCCGTAACACTGTTTTTTGTGAGCCGCCTAATAGTTATTGCCTGGTTCTCGTATACAATGCATTCATCGCAGTAATAGCGTAGGCCACTCCTCTTGTCGATGGCATCACGAACCAGGACAGAATAGCCAAGACACTTTGCGTGATAAATTTTATCACATGTATGGCAGGGAATACTTTTCTGTCCAGCCGAGATAACTTTCTTGCAATTTTTTAATGAACAGAAAGCCATTTTCGCTGACCGCGGACCACTGTGCACTATAGCGGACAAAAAAATCGAAACTAACTCCTGTATAAAACACCTCTGAGAGATATGACCGTTGGAGTGCGTGCCGTTCCAACAGCGCTCAACGACGAAGAGAAAGACTGAAAAGAGGGGCAATAGAACACAATAACAACAAACCAGCACCGAATTAAATTATGATAAAAACTTTTTGTTTACTAAACACAAATTAATCAGGATGCACTCGCGAAGCGAACGGAAAGTTGTTAGAAAACACTTAAAGGTGTAGAAACGTTAAAGAGATTTAAGTAAACCCCGGTGGTTTCAATAAGAAAAATGAAAATTCGGAACGCAAAACAAAAACACGACCGTTCTCTGTGAAGATATATCCCAGATATATATCCCAGATATGTTTTGCGGACATTACTTGGACACAATTCAAGCAGCTGTCCAACGCTTTGTGGGTATGGAGACATCTACAGCAATTCTAGTAAATCTGGAGAGGGATTCGCAGAATATGGCAGTCGAATTGTAACTTCGCTCATGTCCAAGTGGAAAGGTAAAGACTTGGAGGAAATTGCCGTGTCGGTAGCGTTGGCACACTTGGCTCAAATCGACAACGGTTTGGTGCGCTGGGTATACACCACCAACATAACAAGCCGAAATGACCTACAACAGCAACTCCAGGCCCACGTTTTCAAGAAGCGTAATACGGAAGAGGATGCATACTCAACCGGCCCAGAGCGGAAGAAGCCCAAATTCCAAGTAAAGTGCCACCATTGCGGAAAAATTGGCCACAAAGTAGCTGAATGCCGTAGCCGACTGGAAAGGGCACAGAACGCAATAGGAAACAACCAGAACGGGAGCAGCCATACTGGAGCAAAGGATGGCTTCAATATACGATTTTTTAAGTGCAACGAACTAGGACATTACGCTAGTTCATGTCCTAAAATCCGGACCAGCGGAAATGAGAAGATCTTCAAGAAGCGTGTGAACATTTGCACTGTTTCCCCGCCCAAGGGAATAATAAATGTATCCGGTGAGTCAATTCCATTTTGCTTCGACTCAGGAGCTGAATGTTCGTTGGTAAAGGAAAGCGTTGCAGACAAGTTTAAAGGAAGGCGACTAAACAATATTGTGAAACTAAATGACATCTGTAACGACTCTATCTATAGTACAATGCAAATCCTTTCTAATATAAATATTGAACAGTATTGCGTAGAAATTTTATTGCATGTTGTAATGGACAAATACCTAAATTACGATGTTTTGATTTGTCGCGAACTATTAAGCCAGGGCTTTAGTGTAGCAATAGACGCTGAAAAATTTAGTATTTACAAAACTAAAAGAGTGAATGTCGTAACTTTTGCCAATTATAAGAACCTCGTAGATTCTGATGGCGACTTGAGTAACTCCGATAAGATGGCCTTGAAAAATATTCTGAAACGTTATTCTGATTGGTTTATAGAGGGAATAAAGACTCGGGTTACAACAGGGCATTTGGAAATTAGGTTAATAGATCTACAAAGGGCAGTGGAGCGCCGGCCATATAGACTTCGCGAAGATGAGAAAGTGCATTTACGTTCTAAAATCTATGAGCTCCTTAAATCTAATATTATTCGTCTCAGCTGTTAACCTTTCGCTAGTCTTATGATGCTCGTTAAAAAAAAGGCAGTGATCGTCTTTGTGTGGATTACCGTGCCCTGAATGAGAACACAGTCTCAGACAAGTATCCTTTGCTTTTAATTTCTGATCAGGCTACGTGGGGGGCAAGTTATTTCTCATGTCCCGATATGGCTAGCGGCTTCTTTCAAATACCGGTACATCCAGATTCAATTGAGCGCACCGCTTTTGTCACCCCCGAGGGTCAATATGAATTTTTGACTATGCCGTTTGGTTTAAAAAACGCTCCGTCCGTGTTTCAGCGCGCTATTATTGCAGCATTGGGAATAGAATATCTGGGGTTTGAAGTGAGCAAAGGACAGATTCGCCCTAATCCACGCAAAGTTCAAGTGCTGACAGAATTGCCACCCCCAAAAACGGTTACGCAATTAAGACAATTTATAGGGCTTTCATGACCTGTAAATTCCCCAATAAGAACAAACCAACTGCACGCAATTACTAGATTACACAAATAATATTTATTCTTTCTCCGGTGCGGTCAGCACTGTACAAGTGTATGTAAGAGAATGACTCAATGAATGTCAGCATGTTCTCCGCTCTCAGCAACGCTCGTAGTGACAGGCTGCCACATCCCTCCAATTTTTTTCAGCTCCAGCTTCAAGTTCTGCTGCACATCTGAAGGCTGCTCCACGGAGATATCGGGAATCGCTTCGGCTTGCGGTAGCGGTGGTGGCTGTGTGAGGCACCATTTCGTTGTTCGCTGCCATCCAACTGTTGAGAAGATTCAATGTCCAAACTAGAATCCCCTGAGATCTTTTGAACATGACTTATATTTCTCAAATACGTTTTACCTCCTCCCGATATCTTTACTACGCTTCCATCTATCTGAATTACCTCATAGACTGTTGTATCAAAATTAGGAGTTAACTTGTTCTTTAGCACTACTTTATCTCCCAGCTGTATTTTAGATTCCGTGGCTCTTCTAGTTTTATCTTCCTTTTTCCTTATTAATAAAGTCCCTGTCTCTCTCTTCAGATTCTCCCACTTCCCCAACTATATCCTGAACTCCCGGAATCTTGTCTCTAATTGTGCGATTAAATATAAGCTCGGATGGTGGCGAGCCCGTAGTACCATGGGAAGTGAGATATGAATTTTTGAATCTCCTGTTTATAACTTTTATCATTCACATGTCACGCTATTTTCAACCGCTTTATTAATGACCTATTCATATTTTCTACCTCGCCATTAGCTTGAGGCCAATATGGAGGGGTTGTAATGAGGTCAATTCCATTAGTCTCACAATATTTTTTAGACTCTACACTCACATATTGTCTGCCATTATCTGTTCTTAACTTTTTTGGATACCCCAATCTACTAAAAATTTCTGATATCTCTTCAATAAGCACATTTGATCCTATTGATTGTACAAATTTTACTTCTATGTATCTAGAATAGTAATCAATGAGGACTAGCAAGTGCTCATTATTTGGCAACGGTCCCAACAAATCAGTGGCTACCCATACCCATGGGACTGGATTATCTGGTAAAGATACCAATATACAGTCACGACAATCCTTGACAAATTTTTCTGCATCCCTGTCAATTTTTGGCCACCATACTTTTGATCTCAGCCGCCTTTTCATTGCTGGAAACGGTATGCCTGTAGACGTAATAACACCCTCTCAATTCTAGCTGGAGGCTTAGAAGTTGGTTTAAAAATCGCTTCCAATGGCTTATGGTCAGTTACCAACTCGAATTCCAAACCAGCAACATAGTAATGAAATTTCTCCACGCTCCATACCAATGCCAAACTTTCCTTTTCCGTTTGCGAATATTGTTTCTCAACATAAGAAAGGCTCTTACTTGCAAACGATATGATAAATGGATTATTTTCGATATCAAACTGTATTAAGACCGCTCCCAGCGCTACAGGACTGGCTCAGCTATTACACTAGTTTTTAATTTCACGTTAAAATATGCCAACTTCGAAACTCGTGAAACTCCAATTTCAATTTGTCGAATGCTTGCTGTTCTTTTTGGTTCCACAGAAATTTCTCATCCGCTTTGAGTAACTTTCTCAACGGTTCTGTTGTATCTGCCAAATCTGGCAAGAACCTTCCCACGTACGTGACCAGGCCTAAGATACTACAAAGTTCCTCTTTGTTCTTTGGTGGTCTGAATGCAGCAGAAATGCCTGTGTCAGATAATATATGCCCGAGGAACTTAAGTCGCTATGTTTTCCATACGCATTTATATTTGTTTAAAAATATATTGTTTTCCTTGAAAATAACTTTTACCATCTCCAGCATTTTGTCGTGTTCCTCCAATGAACTCCCGAAGACAATTACATCATCTATATAATTTAATGCATTCGGGCATTTCGATAATCGTTCCTCCAGCAGTTTTTGAAATATCTCAGGTGCCGAGTTAACACCGCAGAGTAGACGCTTGTATCTATACAGTCCTTGTGGTGTTATACATTTCTCGGCTATTTGGATGCAATTCCAAATCCAGTCGAGAAAAATACTTAGCGTCCTTAAGCTTCGTTAAAAACGATTCGAATGTTGGTAATGGGTAATTTTCTCGTTGAATTGCTTTATTCGCTTGACGCATATCAATGCACAGTCTTATATTCCCATCACCTTTGAATGCAATAACTATTGGAGAAATCCATTCACTTGGTCCGTGTACTGGCTCTATTATATCCTGAGCTAAAGCCGATTCTAGCTCTCCTTTTACCTTGTCTTCAATGGCGGCTGGGATGCGTCGCATTGGTAGCTTCACGGGCCTCACACGTGGATAAATTGACAGACGAATAGATACATTATTCCACTTTGGAAAAGGTTCTAGCTTTTCGACTCTATTTATAGATGTGCCCAGTCGCAACACGTTAAGTTTAATGGCTGTTTCGCCACCAAACAACGATTGCCTACCTTTTTTTATTACATAAAAGGTTGCAATGGACTCAGCATTCCCTCCAACTGCAATCGGTGCTTCAAACACACATGAAATCTGTAACACCTTTTTCTTGTAGATAGTTCGAATCATCTTGACTTAATAAGTTATGCTTGGACCCGGAATCGATGACCATGCTAATTGGTAAGCCACCAACTCGGCAAGACATGACTTCGCCCATGTCACAATCATTCGCAACTCGAAAACAGGGATTGTGAAATTGTTGACCACCACTCACTGCTCCTACCGGTGCTTCATCTACATAGCGCAGCTTTGTACCTCCTCGATGATTTCCGCCGGATCTCTTCACAGTAGTCCGACATCTCGCATTTTTCGCTGGACAGAGCACACTATTTGAATCTTGATCATTTCGGCCACATCTGCCGCACTCTACTTTGGTGTTGTTCCATTTAGCCGTGCGCAATCTTATTGCAATCTTATTGACCATAGAGCCTGAGCATCCATTTGATGACATTGATTGCGTCTGCTTGCTCACCTGTTTTTTTTGCCCAGAGTCCCACGGCCCACTTACACGCCCAACCGATCGAGGGGCGCAGCCGCGTATCGTACGGCACGATTCGCGATACGATAGACGCGAGATAGGAAAATAAAGGTAAAGGTCCGGGAAAAAAGTAATAGTTAGATCAATCGTGTGCCAATGAAGCAAGTATTAATCGTTTTAGGAGCGGCAGAGAGTCAAGATTTGATATTACAGGAAAAAGCATATTATAGTCAAAACATAATACTCAGAAAGGCTCATGCAAGGCATAGTTAGATCTACAATGATTTAAAGTTAGGGGAATATAATTTCTAGTTAATCTACTTGGCACAGAAAAGTTTAGCCGACTTAACAAGTCGGGACAGTCAATATCACCATGTATAAGGTTATAAATAAAGATAGTACCAAGCATCGTTCTACGGTTGGCTAGGGATGGTAAATTAATCAAAAGAAGTCTACTAGAATAAGAAGGTAAGATAAGATTTGCATTCCCGTTTAGGCACCGTAAAGCAAAAAGAAGGAAGTTTTTTTGTACAGATTTAATACGACCAATATGTATTCCGTATTGTGGACTCCAGACGGGAGACCCATACTCCAGAAAGGGCCTCCATTATGCTACATTTAAGTGGCCACTCATTTTATTTATTTATTTTTTTTTTTTCTTTTTTATCTTATCTTCTTATTTTCGTAGGCTGTATTAAAACTGCCACAATTAGGCATATAATTTTGGTCAAAAGTGTGCAACGCAGTGAAGGAGACATCTCCGACCCTATAAAGTATATATATTCTTGATCAGAATCACCTCCTGAGTTGATATAGCCATGTCCGTCTGTCCGTCTGTCTGTCCGTCTGTCTGTTTCTACGCAAACTAGTCTCTCAGTTTTAAAGCTATCAAGTTGAAACTTTGCACACACCCTTCTTTCCTTTGCACGCAGTATATATGTCGGAACGGCCGGGATCGG